CGCGGGCCCGCCGCTCCCCGCGAAGGCCGGCGGCCGGCCGGGGCTCTGGGGCCCAGCCGGTCTGGAGACCCGAGTACAGCTCGGTGCGGGCACCAACGGCGCCGTGTTGCCAGAAGAGAGGCCGTTTCTGACCTTGGTCTTTGTTTTGTGATTCGGGGAATATCCAGACGAGTGTTTGGAATTGAACACGCTTGTAGAAACGAGTGTTGAGTTCTGTATTTAAACGTGAAAAAGAGAATGAGGATGGTAGTGGAATCATTGAATTCCCAGCCTAAATAATTTGTTCACAAGACTGGCTTTCAGTTAGTGTTCCTTAAACTTTTTTTTTTTTTTTTTGCCAGTCCTTGAACCCAGGGTCTACGCCCTGTCCCTGCGCTTCCTTTGCTCAAAGCTAGCACTCTACCACTTGAGCCACAGCGTCACTTTTGGCTTTTTGTGTGTGTGTGTATGTGGTACTGAGGAATTGAACCCAGGACTTCATGCATGCGAGGCGAGCCACTGTACCAAGCCACATTCCCAGCCCCTAAAATTATTTCTTCCTTCATTGCCTCTCAAGTATCCAAAACTGGTTTTAGGTGGAAATTAACGTAAATGCCTTATATATGCTGAGAATATCTTGTGGATATTTAGTTACTGGTATTAACATAAATACGTTTTAATTCTTTAAAAACTATGGAAAAATATATTCGTGTTTATTGGTATCAGAATTAATCATAATTTTGAGATCTATGGAACAATTGTCGAAATTCCTATCACCAACCACTGTTAACCTTTTTCCTTGTCTGAATTAGATTTGTTTTAAGCCTGATAAGTGAAATACTTTATAAAAATTGGTCATTGCCAGGCACCAGTGGCTTACACCTGTGAACCTAGCTACTTAGGAGACAGATCTGAGGATTGCAGATAAAAGCCAGGAAGAAAAGCCCCCAAGACCCTGAATATTTTTGCTTAGCACTGATGGTTTCTGCAGGTTCTGCTTGTAATCCTAGCTCCTTGGAAGGCTGAGACTTGAGGATCAAAGGAGTTAAGCAGAAAGATATCTTCTGTTAGTCACTCAAAAGCTGGAAGTAGAAGTGTGGCTGGAATGGTAGCATGCTGGCTTTGAGCATAAAAGACCAACTGAGAGTGAGACCCATGAGTTCAAGTCCCAGTACTAGCACACATGCACACACAAATCTTTTATGATTATAAGAATACTTCCTTTTAAGTTCACAAGTGAGTATCCTTAGACTTTAACAGGTTTGTTTCAAATGAATTAAAGGGAATTAAATGATTCATAGAGGATAAATGAGGCATATGTGAAAGTTTGAAACCCAGTCTGTTTATAAGATATATTTGCTAAAGATAACCTTTCAAAAACTAAAATCGAAAGGGCAGTTACAGAGCAATAACTACATAAAGAAATATTACAGCCAACTGCTAGTGGTGGCTCACACCTGTAATTCTAGCTACTCAGGAGACTGAGATCTAAGGATCACAGTTTGAAGCCAGCCTGGGCAGGAAAGTCTGAGACTTATCTCCAATGAGTCACCAGAAAACCAGAAATGGAGCTGTGGCTTCAAGTGGTAAAGTGCTAGCCTTGGGCACAAAAGCTCAGGTAGTGCTCAAGCCCCACAACCACCAAAAATAAAAAGAAAGAAAAGAAAAAAGAAATGTTACCTGTAAAATGGCCTTAACTGACAGCTCCTCTCACTACTGTCAATAACTGTAAGCATAAAACTGGGAAGGAACATACAGCTTGTTTTTTTTTTTGGGGGGGGGGTCTGGTCGTGGGGCCTGAACTCTGGGCCTGGGCGCTGTCCTTCAGCTCAAGGCTAGCGCTCTACCACTTGAGCCACAGGGCCACTTCCGGCTTTTTCTGCTTAAGTGGTGCTGAGGAATTGAACCCAGGCTCTCATGCATGCAAGGCAAGCACTCTACTACTGAGCCCACCCTCCCAGCTACTCAAATGGATTTTATTTTGGGTGGGGGGTCCGGTCGAGGGGCCTGAACTCTCTGGGCCTGGGCGTTGTCCCTCAGCTCTTTAGCTCAAGGCTAGCGCTCTACCACTTGAGCCACAGCGCCACTTCTGGCTTTTTTCATTTTTGCTTATGTGGTACTGAGGAATCGAACCCAGGGCCTCATGCATGCAAGGCAAGCGCTCTACCACGGAGCTACCTTCCCAGCCCCTCAAATGGATTTTTGACTGCTTGTTTTGTTAATTTAATCTGTAGTCACCTACTTGTATTTTGTGGTCCATTTGTGAAAAGGTAGCTGTGTCCTAATTTGAAAAGATAAGTTATGCACTTATATACTATAAAACATAACATGTTGCTTTTGAATTTGAAAATAACTTTTCTCTTTCTTTTTCTTATAAACAGCAGTTCTGTGGTGTTCTTGGTCACACATTTATGGAGTTTCTGAAGGGCAGTGGAGATTACTGCCAGGCACAGCACGACCTCTATGCAGACAAGTGAACTGTAGAAATCCATTACTACTCCACCAAGAAGCCCCCGTAAGAGTGGTTAACCTGGACACAGAAGTGTTGAATTGCAATCTGCAGAGCATTTTCCAAGAGTTCTGACCTGGATGGGGTAAACCTCAGTGCACTTGCTTTCTATTGCCTCAGTATTACTGGATTGAAGAGTTGCTACTTCCCATTAGGAGGTTCATTTCATTTATCATTACTCCCAGTTTCATAAAGCACTGAGAATTTTAAGTGGAGTATATTGAAGTAGACTTCAGTTTCTTTGCATCATTCCTGTATTCGATTTTTAAATTCTTTCATAACCCTATTGAGTGTTTTGAGTAAGTTACCATGGCTCGAATGAACCGTCCTGCTCCTGTGGAAGTCACCTACAAGAACATGAGATTCCTTATTACCCACAATCCAACCAATGCAACCTTAAACAAGTTTATTGAGGTACGTTTTAATTTTTTTTAATGTCTTACAGTAAGTAATCCACTTTTCTGTAATCCAGTTTTCTGGTGGTTAATTGGAGATGAGGGTCCGGGCTTTCCTGCCAGGGCTGGCTTTGAAGCATTATCCTCAAATCTCAGCCTCCTGAGTGGGTAGGATTATAGTTGTAAGCTACCAACACCCAGCTTAAATACCACTGTTTACTAGTATTAGAAACAAAAGCCTATGTCTTAAAATCCAGTTTTCAGTTACTGTGTTTGCTGCTTCCTTTTCCTAACCTTGTAGCAAATGCTGTCTCACTGCTTGCTGACCTCTTTTTAGTAGGAGTTAGAAGGAATGTAATGTGCAGTTTATATTTCTCAAGTAGTTGTAGGTGTTCAGAAATAGCAAATAGGCTTTTTACTTTTATTTTTATTTTTGTGTACGTGTGTGCAAATTAGGAAAGTTATAATTGATAATAATGCAATCATTTAAAAGAAGCCTGTAATCACGTGTGTTTGTGTGTGTGTGTGTGTTTTAAGTCTTGCATTTTAAAGTCTTTCAATATACATCTAAGGCTTGGAAGAAAATTATCAAATGAGTAAGAGTAAGAGGAGGTAGTATAATTGAGTAAAGTCACTTACCTAACTAGTTAGGATTTCTTGGTTACCTTCTAATTGTTAATTTTGCCCTTGTGCTAGGTTGCAACCCAATCAAACCATGCATATATTTAGACTTAATTATGTGACCAGGTTCTGGTAGCTCACGCCAGTAATCCTAGCCACTCAGGAAGCTGAGATCTAAGGATCATGGTTCAGACTTAACCTGGGAAGGAAAGTCTGTGAGACTCTTAGCTCCAATTAACTTGCAGAAAACTAGAAGTAGAATTGTGGTTCAATGTGGTTGAGCACTAGCCTTGAGCAAGAAAGCTCAGGGACAGCACTTAGACCCTGAGTTCCAGCCCCACAATTAAACAACAACAACAAAAAAATTGTGTTTAACTTCCTTTTTCATTTATATTGTTATATGTAGATATACATAGTCTAACATTCTTTGCCTACTTTTCTGTTAACCAGCATAGCTGCTGATGTGAAAAGATCAAAATAATGTTGGACAATGGTGATATGGTTTAAAAATTTTTTTTTGGATGTATAATTTTTTAACAGGAACTTAAGAAGTATGGAGTTACCACAATCGTAAGAGTATGCGAAGCAACTTACGACACTACTCTGGTGGAGAAGGAAGGCATTCACGTTCTCGTATGTACTTAACAGCTCCTCATTTTTATTAGTGTACTTGTTACACAAAGTGGTTTTAGTTATACAAAGCAGTTTTATTTTGATATGCCCATACATGCATATTTAACTTAGTATGTGTTTATCACGGTATATGCTACAAAAGTTTATTCAAGACTCACTTCTGGTTTTCTGGTGGTTAATTGGAGATAAGAGACTCATAGATTTCCCTGCCTTATGCATTGTGATCCTCAGATCTCAGCCTCCTGATTAGCTAGGATTAGATAGCTAGGATTAGAGGTGAGAGCCACCAGTGCCCAGCTGACAATTGATACTTTATATCCTTAGGTGTGTGTGTGCACACACATGGACATGCTGATACTGGGGGTTCATTCATTTTAGCTTTTTCACTCAAGGCTGGTGCTCTACCATTTGAGTCACAGCTCTACTTCTGGAGTAGCTTAACTGGAAATTAAGACAGCTCACAGACTTTCCTGCCTAGGCTTGGCTTTGACCTGTGATCAACAGCGGAGAGAGCTGGGTCCTTGTTAAGAATGGGAAAGTCCTGGCTCATTCATCTGTGGGCTGCAAAACCTTGGAGTTTTGGGCCCTGTCATCAGAGTTTGATTGATTTGTTGGGGGGGGGGGAGATGAGCTGCTTATCAGAGTCTCTAACCCAAGGCCCACACCTTGCTAAATTTCCTTTTGCCCCTACTCAACCCCAAGGCCATCTGGCTCCAGTCCAGCAGGCTTTTCTTGGCAAATCAGGTGGATCATAGGCTCTGGGCAGCTTATGAGCCTCTCCTTTACTGCTGGTTCCTACAAATCCAGGCTTCTGGGGGCCTCACCTAGGTGTCTGTCATGTGGACAAGGGCTTCTTCCTTCCCATCATGCAATGATGCAATTCTGCATGCTCCTTCAGGCCCCTCTCCCCTCCCTGGCTCTCCAGGCTTCCAACTGGGACAGAGAGGGTAAGGGGAAGCAGGAAGGGGAGAACCCTGTCCACAAAACTGAAGGCCACTCGGGGTGTGGGCGAGGTGGGTGAGGCCTGATTGCCCAGGAGTGGCCCATGAGATTCCACCGTCCTCAGATGTCCCAGAGAGGGTCCACCAAAGCTGGGGGATGACGACTTGGGGGGGTTCAGGGAGAGCAGAGACAGCCCTTCCCAGCCAGTACTTGGGCATGAGTGTGCTTATCTCAGCTGTGTGAGAGGCTGAGATTGGGAGGAACACAGTTCTAGACCAACCCTGGTAGAAAAGTCTACAAGATTACCACTCAACAGGGTAAGCCAGGTCTGTCTACCTGTCATCCCAGCTATAAATGAGAAGCCTAAGGCAAGCCCAGATGAGATCTTGCCCTTTTGCCTCAGGCTGGTTTAGAGTCAGAATCCCCTTTATCTGCATGTGGAACAAAACTCAGATAACAGGTCTGGACTACCACCAGCTTATTGACTGCAAAGGTATTTAGCAAACTTTTTTTTTTTTTTTTGTCCTGAGCTGGTTTTGACCAGTGATCCCTACAATCTCAGCCTCCCAAGTAAAATAGGATTATAGAAATGAGACACTTTCCCAGTGGTTGTGGTATATGCTGGAGACCTGTCATTCTCTACTCCCCCTCTCACCCATACTCAGCATACAGTCCCAGCTTTCCCAGTGGGGTGCTTTACTTATGGATTTGAAGCTTCCAGTGCCTTCTATACTTGTTCCCACCCATCGCAGCATCAAGCTCAAACATACTTGAGATGCATTGTGTGCTTTTTATAACCACGTCAAACAGTCAAGGAGAGCATAAATAATGAGGACCCCAGGCCTGGGCTCAACAGTCTGTAGATCCAGCTGTCATTTCCAGCACAGAGCTAAACAGAGCCAGTATCCTATTTTCTGGAAGGTTCCCCGATGCAGGCACCCATAGGAGACTTCAGTGCAAGCTAGGCACAGGTGTCAACAACACAATGGATTCCATGTCTGACCTGGTGCTTGACCTGAAGGCCAGGCCCTGTGGGGGCCCCAGGCCTTACCTGGCTGGTAGGGGCAGCTTGGCATGGTACAGCATGCTGGGGCTGTTGATGGCTGCGTTGTACGGTGTGCTGAAGGGGGAGGAGGCCAGGTTCGGGTGGAGGCTCTTGGAAAGAAGTCACCTGTCACATGGCCACCCCCGCGGGAGGTGGGCCCTGACTGCTGACATACTCCTAAAGAGTATTGATTGTCCGTTGGGGTACCCTCCATCCAATGGGTGATCTGTCTGAAGGAGAAGGGCGTGATTCACTGGGCAATTGTAACTTTAGTCTTTCTTCTGGAAAGATGTCACATTTCTAATATAATCATAGTCATGAAAACTCCAGTACTCATGCAGCAGGTGAGACCTCAAGGGACATTTTCTACAAATAATTATCATTCAGTTGGTTGTATGGCTTGGGTTACAGGTTCGCTCCTTTTTGCATTGGAGAATGGGAGTCTTTTAAAAGTTTATTCAAATGAATTGTAGAGCTCAAGAAACTTTAAGCTGTGACCAAAATTTCCAATTTCAAAATAAAGATTAGATAAACTAAGTCAAATGTATCAATGGAAAACATTCAGAAAGTTTGACTAATCATGTTTCATAGACAGTGGGGTTTGATGAAATGTGTAAAAATAAAGGTAATTTAAATCTTTACTTAGGATTGGCCTTTTGATGATGGTGCACCACCCTCTAACCAGATTGTTGATGACTGGTTAAGTCTTGTAAAAATAAAGTTTCGTGAAGAACCTGGTTGCTGTATTGCTGTGCATTGTGTTGCAGGCCTTGGGAGGTAAGAAAGGTTTCCTTGTTTTGTAGGTCCTGGGGTTTGAATTCAGTACTAGGCGCTATCCCTGAACTTTTAGCTCTCGACTAGAGCTTTTCCAGTTGATAGCTCTACTTCTAGCTTTTTTTTTTCTTCTTGATGGTTAATTGGAAATAAGCAGGGTTTTTGAGCAGTCCTCAGACCTCAGCCTCCTGAGTAGGTAGGATTACAGGATTTAGCCACTGGCTCCTGACTGTAAGTTTCTTTGGTTTTAGAGAAATATCCTAGTTGACATGAAATAAACTTTTTTGTTTCAAGGCTTAGGGCTCTACCACTTGAGCCATAGTGTCACTTCCAGTTTTTGAGTGGTTAATTGAAGATAAGAGTCTCATGGGGACTTTTCTGCCTGGGCCTGAGTTGTTCTGCTCAAAGCTAACGCTTTACCACTTGAGCTACAGCTCCACTCAGGCTTTTGTTGTGGTTAGTTGGAGATACAGTCTGAAGGACTTTTCTTGCTTGGGCTGGCTTAAAACCGTGATGCTCAGATCTCAGCCTCCTGAGTAGGATTACAGGTGTGAATGATTAGCACCCAGCTTTTCAAAAACTAATTTTACAAATTTCTTAGTATTATACAGGTTGGTGTTAAATGATAGGTAGTACTTACATATGATGATAACTAGTAAATATACTTTTGGATTTGGGAATGTTTATACTAAACAGTTTTCCAGGTTTTTTTTCAATGACTATTAACTATATCTCACCAGAGCTCCAGTGCTTGTTGCCCTGGCACTAATTGAAGGTGGAATGAAATATGAAGATGCAGTACAGTTCATAAGACAGTAAGTAATGGGTCTTCTTCTGTCTTTGTTATATGTCATTAAATTTTGTACATCTGTTACTATTTTTAGAATTAAAGCCAGCCAGGAAATAAACACTCACCTTCTCTGCATGCTTAAAAGTAACTAGGGTTGTAATCTAAAAGAATTTGAATTGATACTTGTTTTGCTTTAAATTATTGGTTTAATATGTAATTTGTTAATTTGTATTTGTTGAGGTATGTGTAATAAATTTTTTTTTTGTCAGTTGTGGGGCTTGAACTTAGGGTGTGGGCTCTGTCCCTGAGCCTCTTTGTGCCTTATAAGGCTAGGGCTCTACTATTTGAGGCATAGTGCCACTTCTAGTTTTTGAGCGGTTAATTGAAGATAAGACTCTCATGGGGACTTCTCTGCCTGGGCTGGTTTTGAACGGTGATCCTTTGATCTCAGCCTCCTGAGTAGCTAGGATTACAGGTATGAACCATCAGTGCCTGGCTTCATAAGACTTCTGTCTTCATGAATTAGTTTTTGTGTTTTCCTTCCAGAAAGCGGCGTGGAGCTTTTAACAGCAAGCAGCTTCTGTATTTGGAAAAGTACCGACCTAAAATGCGGCTACGCTTTAAAGACGCCAACGGTCACAGAAACAACTGTTGCATTCAATAAAACTGCCTCAGAAGTGGAATTTGAGGTGGAACCTAATTTGTCATAACAATATTGGTTTGGTGAATGAGTCTAGTGAAGCATCCATAGGAATATTGAAAAGCAGTTCCTCAGGCTGCGAGCTTGACCACAACTTTTATTTGGGTTTTGATTGACCTATTTGGACACTTAGCAAAAAAGAAAAAAAACAACACAAAATTCTTGTTGTTCAGCATTTAAAATGTGCTTATCACATATTAATTGACCTTTCCTAAAATCATTGAGTTACATTTTTAAAATATATTCCCATGCCAGAATCTTTATCAATATATAAGAAATTTAGAAAGATTAGGTGCCAAAATATCCAGCACAATACTTGTATATTTTTAATACCATTCAGAACCGAAATTCCAGAAACTCTAGACCTGTATGGTTTCTTCCTTCAGTCATTTCAAACACTGTAGGGCCTCTGGCTATTTGCCTGTTCATTTTATGTTTACATCTCCCATTCATACATCAGGTTTGTGTAACCATTGATATTTTTTTGTACCAAGTCTTAAGGTGATTATTTAATGTCTTTCTATATGTCTTTATGCTGTTATGGGAAACCTCCATTTTGAAAGTCTTCATTGTTACAGAAGCACATGTCTTTAATAATGTCTCCAGACAGAAAAGCCTTACAGTTAATTTAATGTTGGCACTCTGAGGTGCAGCTTCACAGGGAGGGCCTGAAAGAATGGGAGGGAGCTCTTGAATATCTTTAGTAAAATGTTGCCTTTGTCTTGTGCAGAGTATGCTCTTTAGTAAATATTTTTAAAGTATAGATGCTTTGTTTTAGCAAAAATTCTTAATCATAAAATTTCTGATATTGTATTTTTTCCATACTTAGTTGTTTACCACCTTATTTTTGTTTGAATTGTGATTTTTTCCCCTTTTCTCTTCCCAGCCTCTCTTGCAAAAAAAAAGGGGTTTCTGCTAATGAAATTGAGCAGATATCTAATATTTTATAAGCCTTTTGAGCTGTGTAACTTAATATTTGGATACTTGATAATTTGTCCTATTATGTAATTGATATAATGGTGATGTGTATTAATGTTAGTTCAACCATATATTTATACTGTCTGGGAGTGTGTGGTTATAGTTCTGTGGGAGAAACAATTTGTCAGTGCTCACCAGCTTGTAAAAACTTAGTGCAAGACTTAAACACCTAAATAAATAATTAAATGCATTTATCATCACTGAGATTGTTTTTGCTTAGTTAACTTGTAATTGAAGAATGAAGTGAAATCAGGATTGTTTAGTAAGCTTATAGTTTGTTGCATCCTGACAATTTTTAATAGCTCTTCTCATTACAACCTGCTCTTATTTAAAAGGTCTAGATGAAATTTTGAACCAATTCATTGTATACTGAATAGAAAAACCTTACAGTTCAAAAAGGCCTTGGTTTTTAAGACTCGGTTCAATTATTAGTGATTTGCTGCAACCTAAACTTTGAAGATTCAGTTTTCTCATTTGCAACTTGATGATATTGCAGTGCCTTTATAATTTTAACGATTATTTGACACACTTAATTGTTAAGCTTCTTTAAATCTGAAATACTTTGTATTTATGCTAGTGTAAAAGAAGCTTGGCTACTTTTGAACAGCAATTATAAACATGAACTCAAAAAATTATAGTTAAAAGTGATATTCCCCCTTTTACATAATGTACTTCCATCTCTTGCCAGTATAACAATGTATTCCATCCTTAAAATTTAGCCAGAGCAAAAGAGAATAGATCTATTGGCCCTTGGTTCTTTAAATTTATTTTTTCTTAAATTCTTGAAGATAATTTTGTGTGATTGACACTAAATGTTACACTATTTACTACACAGCCCATAAATAGCATTGTGCTTATTGAAAGAGATAGTTGAGTTTCTGTGATGATTGTAAATATGGTGCTAAAAATCACTTTATAAACAATCTGTACAGTATACAAACATAAGACTTGCTTTTTATCCAAATATTTTGTATCTTGTAAATATGGCTAATTATAGGGACACCTGTGATACATCCCAAAACATCCTTTATGTTTAGAGAGAATGTATTAGAAGTTCCCAGATGATGTTCTAAGCTTTGGTTTGGATACCTTTAGTGGCCTGATGTAAATAGTGACTAGTTGCCTAGGGTTTTCTGTAGAAATCATAATGTAGCTGACATAAGTAATGTGACAAAAATGGGGGGGGATGTGATCTTTGAGTGGAGGGCAATATGGCACCTATGTAATTTTTTTCAGTACATTGCATACTTTGACTTGTCAGCACTCGTTTATCTTGGAGCAGTGTTCTGTTCCCACCTTAACAGCTCCACACCACGAAGCAGTCCAACCAAAACTCAGGTTGGCTGGAATCTCAGTCTCTAGGGATGTAGCTTAGTTGTCATTATATCTATCTGACTCAGCTACTGTATGCCAGGCATTTTAAAGATAGTGCAGAGAACATTAAAGTTTGTGTAGCAAGTTCTATTCAATAAGTCCCCTGCCCCCTGTCATAAGTGAGAGTGCGTTCTCCTGGAGTTTGAGGAAATGTAATTTGGTAAGAATACTTCAAGTGGAAGTGGAAATGTGATACTAATTTTTTTCCTTTTACATGTAAACTAAACATCCTTTAAGTTCTAAAAAATACATAAAGTAGTGTATACATGTTTATACTCCAAATTCTTGACTCTGAATTACTGTTTGTGAGTGTCTATGTGCCTCCTTCAACTAATCAAAAATTAAAGACTGGTTTAAAAGTGTCTGACACTTAGTGTTTCTGCATTACCTTTGGGGTAACCATTCTAAACCACATATTGTGGTTAGTTCATTTAAGCCAGTTGTGTACATTGAGATGAATTGACAATAAATGTTAACTGGACATGTCAAACTAGCGAGCTAGTACTGCTTTTATGATAGCTACCATTTATTGTGAATCGTATTGCTGAGTAATTTTGTGATTTGATTTCCTTTAATTTTGTGTTGTCTCAGCTTTATAGTTGAAGAGGATTTGAGTCTACTAAGCTACAGTTTATGTCACTGCCTAATTTCATGTAACCATTTGAGTGTGTGCCAGTATTGGATCTTGAACTCTGCCTAGGCACTGTCCCTTTGTTTTTTCATTCAAGACTGGCACTATACCACTAGCCATAGTAGCTCCACTTCCAGCTTTTTGGCAATTAGGAGTCTCTCGGAGTTTCCTTCTTGGGTGGACTTTGAACCATGATCCTCAGATCTCAACTTCCCCAGTATCTGGGATTACAGTCATGAGTCACTTGGATCTGGTTTAAACCAATTGTTCTTATGAGTTCTAGACTACCTGCCTAGTAAAATAATTTTCATTTAAGAACATAATGTTCATGCTGAAGACTTTATAGATTCATTTTTAAATTTCATTTTTGGAAGCAAAACCTTTTTTGTGAAAGTCAAGTCAGAATAGATTAATATTGTGGTAATTAACCCTGAAATAGGAACTTGAGGTTTTGATTTTTGGGGTGGCATGGTGGCACACTGGGGATGGGACCCAAGGCTTCGTGCATGTTAGACAAGCATTCTACATCTGAGCTGCAGCCTTTGTCCTAATTTGGGATTTTGGCGAGCCTGGGGGTTAGCCAAGGCATTGTGCTTGCTAAGCAGGCACATCTCTAGTCCTTTTATTTCTGATACAGTTCCACAGTTGTATCTTGGCAGATAATTCCCATGTAGCTGGGGACACTTGTTGAAATGGAGTCTCAACATTTTGTCCTGGCTGTGTTCCAATAATGATACTATCTCCCTTCTCAGTGGCTGTGATTTACAGGCTTGTGCCACCACGCGTAGTCTGGTTACAACTGAAGATAAATGGCTTTGATGAGTCTCAGGTGGTTTTACTAAGCTATCACACACCCTGTGGACCCCAGACTGGTCAAGTAGCCACCCAGCAAAGGAAATATAACCAACACTGAAAAGCCTGAATTACATACTTCTGCGCCAAGATTTATTAAGTGCATCTGCAGCAATACACATGCAGATTGCCAGGGAATTGATTCTGAAGTTCAGGCACCAAAGCTTGTGCTTAGATAATCATGGGGCTTGAACTCAGCCTGGGTGCTGTCAATTCAAGGTGAGTGCTCTACCACTTAAGCCACAGCACCACTTCTGGTTTTCTGGTGGTTAATAGAGAAGAATCTCGCAGACTACTGCCTGGGCTGGCTTTGAACTACAGTCCTCAAATCTCAGCCTCCTGAGTAGCTAGAATTACAGGCCTGAGCCACTGGCCCCTGACTCCTTTTAATCTTAAGTATTAATTTTAGCTATCTGTGCTGTTGTGGTTTCCTGTCAAGACTAGAGATGGTAAAAAGATGCACAAGAGGGGAGATAAGTATCTGGGTATCAGTAAAAGTTGAGGCCACTCAACTACATTTTAAAAAGAAACGGCTGGGAATGTGGCTCAGTGGTGCCTCGCATGCGTGAGGCCCTGGGTTCGATTCCTCAGCACCACATAAGCAGATAAAGCTGGAAGTCACGCTGTGGCTCAAGTGGTAGAGGGCTAGCAAAAAGGAAAAAAAAAACCCAGCCAATTGGAAATAGTGCTGACAAAGCAGTTTTAGGCTTATGTATACCTCAGTAAGGACATGGACATAACAAGCTCTTTGAAAAACGAAAACCCCACTACAGTGTGTGGCCAGGTGCTGGTGGCTCATGCCTGTAGTCTGGTGACTCAAGAGGCTGAGATCTGAGGGCTGCAGTTCAAAGCTAGCCTGGGCTGCAAAGTCCTTGTGACTCATGATCAACTAACGACCACAAAGCCTGGGGTCGAGCTGTGACTCACACAAGCACTGACTGAGCAAAAGCAGCTCAGGGGCACCACACCAGACCCTAATTCAAGCCCCAGGACCAGCACCAAAAAAAGTCACCACGGTCATTAAGCTGGGGTTTCGAACATTTTATGGAAAAGTTTATAACCAAATGTCGTTTTAGGAACAATGGTGACATGAATAAGCTTGGCGCTAAGCGTGCCAAGAATTCTGAACCTTTCCAAGAACAGTTTTTCACTGCCGGGTAGTCAGCGTCCCAGAAGGAAACAAAGAGGGGCTGAAACATCCTAAAAAGAACCAGCGAGGAGGGCGCAGAGTTCCTGTCACAGAGAAGGGATTCGCGGGGAGGCGGAGGGACGGCTGGGCAGTCGCCCTCCAGAGACGAGGGGAGACCCCAGAAACGGCCCGAGACCTGCAGGGCAGGCGCGCGGGAGACCATGTCTTCCGGCCAGAAAGCAGTTCGGGTTAATGCGGCGGCCGTGGTGAATTCCAAGTCCAGCCAGGTCAGACCGCATTGTGTGTGCGGCTGGGCGCAGGCTGCGATCCGAGTCCTGGCCACACGCCGGCCTGGGCTGTGTCCTACCTCCCGGGCAGGAGCGCCTGCCAGTGCCTCCCCACCGTCCCAGACCGTCAAAGCGGGGGTTCGGGTGAAGCTGAGGAGGAGGGGGCCAGTGTGACAACCAAGGGCGCGGAGCTTCAGCGGGCTCACGCCAGGACCGGGCGCGGGCCTGCACGCGACTAACCCCGCGGCGGGCGTGTCCAGCGTGGACTCACAGCTAGCAAGCCACGGGCCTCGGGCCACCGGCCGGGCTGTGCGGGGCAGCCTGGGCCAGGGCCGCA